CTGGCAAACCCACCCAAGCAGGAGGGAGAAAGAAACAGTCCCAGGGTGACGCTCGTCGCGTGGATTTGTGTAAGCAGTCTTTGTTGTTGGGGGGGGGGGGGGGGGGGGGGGGGTACTCATGTCTTTCCATGTCTTCCGGCATCGTCGCACATAGGCGCGCTTCACCAAACGGTCGCGGTCGTCACTCGAAAGGTGACAGCAGCGACAATTCCGAACCGTGTCGGAAGGCAGAAAGAAGAAAGAGGGATAGACGAGACCTTTTCCTACTTTGTGTTGCAGCAAGTAGTATAGACGGTAGCTTGGCGAGCGCGCACCAGGCCCGCATGGCGGTGGTAGTCCCCTCGCGTTGTAGCCGCGGATCCCCTGTCCCCCCGCCCATCACGCACGTTCTTGCCCCCATCTTGCTGGACCCCTGGCCTTGTGTGGGTATGGCTGGCTGTGGGTGGTGTGGACGGCCGTAGTGTCTTGGTGTCGATCAAGGCAAGAACGAACCCCCGTTCGCACGGAACAGGGAAGAAGTGCTGTCTACCCGGTTTTGCTGTTGCGAGAGTGCTAGATTTGACGTGCCCCTATTTTGTCTCGTGTTCCGTGTATACACATGGCGTAAAAGGGAGGTTATGTGAAAAGTGTGTGGTGTTACCCACGGACATTTCTCTCAAGTATTCAGGAGGTGTGCAGGTGCGGCATAGTGTGTCGTTCCTCACGGAAGAGTTTGCTCCTCACGAGTTTATTTTCGCTGCTGCTGCTGCTGCTGCTGCTGCTGCTGCTGCTGTTGCTGCTGCTGTCTTCGCTCCTCCCTGCTTTTGTTGTCCTCATTTCCCTGTTGTCCGTCCTCCTTTTCTGCTCGTTGTTTTTCGTGGTTTTGTGGTGTCGGGGGTCGGGGGGTGATGGTTAGGTGAACAAGCTGGCGGACGCGCTGGAGGTGAAGGAGTTCCTTCAGGACGAGTACATCATCCGTCAAGGTGATCGCTGATTGGATGACGGCTTGTTTGCGTGATATATGACGATGATTCCACGACGATGGTCACCGTGTTCGGACGACCGGGTTACAAGACGCCGCCGTACTTTTTTCCTGACGACGCCGCGTTACCACGGTGCTTCAAGTCGACGTAATAAACAAAAAATAAAACTACGTGTGCGTCTTCGTCGGTGGACCAACATGTACGAGATGGTCCGTCCGATCCTCTTTTGGCGGCAAGTAGGCGGCTATAGCCTGTGAGCGTTTTTGTCGGTCGTTTTTAGCATTTTACATACACAGACGCACAAATTAACCTTTCGTTCTTTCGTTCCTTCGTTCGGTTCGTCTGGCAGGGCAACAGGGGGAAGACTTTTTCTTGATCGAGGAAGGAGTGGTGTCCTGCACCCAGGCCAAGAGCGCCACGGACCCGACCGAGATGTCGCTCCTCACGCTTGGGCCCGGGGAGTACTTCGGGGAGATGGCGCTCATGCTGGACGAGCCGAGGGCGGCCAACTGCATCGCCGTACAGGGAAATGTGGGTCTTTTTTCTCTTCGTCTCTCTCTCCCTCTCTCTTATTTTGTTTTTGTCTACGGGGATACGTTCCAGCTGTTGTTGTGCAGGGGAGCACTGTGTTTTCGCTCTTGCGGTCTGTCATTGTTGCTGTTGCTGTTTAATCTGCTGCTTTCTGTTGGTGCCGCTTGTGTGTTGCACATACTTTCGTGAGATGTCATGTGTTGTATGCTGCTGTGACGGGAGAGGCGACAGCCCCCTTTTGTGCCGCTTGTCCGGTTAGGTTAGTCCTCGTCTTTTGCGTCGCTCATCTCGCGCCCGTGTCGTTTGAAGGGTGTGCTCGTGGCTAATGATTTTTCTCATGGGTTGTCTTCGAACAGGCTCTTTTCGGCACTTCGTTGTGACGCTCTCAGGTTCTTCTCAGCTTTATCTTTCTCAACTCTCTCTCCCCCCTCCCCCCCCCCCCCCCAACTGTCTCTTTTGCTCCGTTCAGGTGAAGTGCCTTTCGCTAGACAGGACTAGGTTCTCGAACCTCCTGGGGCCGATCTACAGCATCCTGCAGCAAAACATGCGACTGCGTATCCTCAAGGGGGTGCCGCTGCTCTCCAAGCTCACCGAACAAAAACTTTGCCGAATGGCGGGAGCATTGTGAGAAAGGGAGATAGGAAAAAAAAAACAAACCAAATTGTATTGACCACAGCAGTCCATACAACCCTTCCGCCGGGCACTCCAGTAACTCAACAAGCCCAGGCGGCTTCTGAAAATCCGCGTAATTCCATAAGAAGAAGGGGGGGGGGGGGGGGTGGGGTGGGCGGGAAGAAAAAATTTTTACCAATTTTCT